TATCTCAAAAATCGAACCGAAGCCGGTTAATGCTGCACTTGATCACACTAATTGGATACAAGCTATGCAAGATGAACTCAATGAGTTTGAACGTAATCGGGTTTGGAGGATGATTCCCATTCCAAAGGATGCTTCTGTGGTCGGCTTAAAATGGGTCTTCAGGAACAAGTTGGACAAAGAGGGAAACTTCAATCGCAATAAGGCTCGGCTAGTGGTGAAAGGATACTGTCAGGAAAAAGGAATAGATTATGAGGAGACCTTCACTCCGGTGGCAAGGTTGGAATTGGTTAGAATATTTCTGGCATATGCTGCACATAAAAACTTCAAAGTTTTCCAGATGGATGTAAAATGCACTTTCTTAAATGGAGAACTAGAAGAAACTATGTACGTTGAACAACCTCCTGGCTTCGTGAACGAGAAATCCCCTGATCACTGCTATGTGTTGGATAAAGTTGTATATGGTCTAAAGCAAGCACAGAGGGCCTGGTATGATACGTTAACTCGCTTTCTTAAAATGTAGAAATTCAAGCAAGGTTCGGTTGACCCAACCTTCTTTCGAAAGAAAGAAGGAGAACATTTAATGATTGTTCAGATTTATGTCGATGATATCAGCTTCGGCTCCACAGATCCTAGCTTGATAGTTGAGTTTAGGAAGCTGATCGAGACTAAAGTTGAAATGAGCACAATGGTTACAATTAATTTTTTCCTTGGATTGAATATAAGACAGGGACCAAAAGGCATTTTTATCAATCAGGAAGCTTACACGAAGAATTTTCTATCAAAATTCGGTATGAAGGGAGATTCGAAGGTGAAGGTTCACATGACATTTGGCACGAAGTTAACTTCATCCCTAGAGAAACCTGCTATTGACATGACACTCTATCGTCAAATGATAGGGTCTCTAATGTATCTAACGGCTAGTAGACCAGAAATTATGTTCTCTGTTTGTTATTGTGCCAGGTTTCAAGCAAATCCAAGAGAACCTCACATGGTAGCAGTGAAACACATTTTTCGTTATCTGAAACGAACCTCGTCTCTCGGTCTTTGGTACCCAGCTAGATCTGGATTCTTTGTTCAAGCTTTCTCTGACGTCGATCTTGAAGGATGCGGTCTAGACTGAAAGAGCAAAACTGGTGGATGCCAATTCCTTGATGGCAAACTCGTAAGATGGCAGTCTAGGAAGCAAACCTGCGTGTCTCTTTCAACAACCGAAGCTGAGTACATAGCTGTAACATCATGTACCTCACAAGTAATCTGGATACAAAGCTAATTAAGGGACTACAAATTAAGTATGAAGAAAATACCTCTCTACCATGAATCTGAAAGTGCAATAAGAATATGTCACAATCCGGTGCAACACTCAAAGACAAAGCATATTGAACTAAGATACCATCTCATCAAGGACCATGTTGAAGATGGAAACGTTGAAGTTCATTTCATTCGGTCCTCTAATCAACTCGCTGACATCTTCACTAAAGCCATACCATAAACAACTTTCAATAAAATTTTACAAGGTTTAGGGATGATGGAAGCAGAGTCGGTACCAAAACCTCAAACCTCTTACTAAAAATTAGACAAGCGAAATAGAACGAACGCTCGGTCTATTTCGGCTTCAGATTTTTCGGGAACCGAAATGAACCGAACGCTCGGCTTATTTCGGCTCCAGATTTTTCAGGAACCGAAATGAACCGCACGCTTGGCTTATTTCGGCTCCGGATTTTTTGGGAACCGAAATGAACCGAACGCTCGACTTATTTTGCTTCATTTATTTAAAGGTTTGTTTTTGGCTGTATACTTTGTAAACTTTCTTTTAAGCTTTTTATTTGATTTATTTTCCTTTTTATCTTTATTTCTAGAGTTTCTAAAACTAATTTCGTTTATTTTTCTATTTTTATTATTTTTCAGAAAATTAAAAATACCAAAAAGATTTTATCTTTTTTGTGTCATTATTATTTGTTTTGCTTGTGTGTGGTTTGTTTGTCTTTGTTCATTTCTTTAGTAGGTACCAAGGATAAGGGGAGAATGAAGATTCAAGGATATTGTTGCAACATGATTTGGAACTAAGGTAGGTATGAAAATTCTAATTTGAACTAGTTAAGTGTCCCTAGAAGCATGTTGTTGCATGTAGACCTAAGCGTTTAAGACTAAGTGAGGCCTTAATGATTCGATCTATACCTATCATCTCTTCCCAATCAGGCTGCTACATTCACTCAATTCATGAGCTACCCTACTCTTCTCAAACGAGTTATGAGTTTTCTGCTTAGTCACTTTCATATAGAAGGGGTGCTTTCGGTTCTTAACCTCCTCCTCTACATTCTCCATCAAATTTCGTTTCACCAATGTAACCGTTGAGACTCTCATCTGTTACCACTGAGGTTTATGGTTACACAAAATCTATGTCTATGATCTTTGATGCGTACAACACGTGTTAAGTAAGAACCAAAATCCAACACCTATAAAGAATTGACGGTGAATTTTAGAATTCAAGATCTCACTTGTTACCTATCGAAATCTCTTTTTATTTTTGCGCGATCTTTATGAAATTCTCTAACACCAAGGCATTTCTTCCCAAAAGATCCAAATTAGCTTTTTGTTTTTTGAGATTTCCATTCCATACCCAGTCACAACAAATGATATCTAACCCACTTGTTTCAACAGACCTCATCGGTCTCACAACTTCTTCACTCAAGTTTTGGTCTTATATTAAGTATCGAAGTTCGGTTGAAGATAAACCTCCCTTAAAGACATTATGTAAAAACAAGCCTTTCGATGTTTCTTAACAAGCACTCGATCGCATTTTTCGGGGAACGATACAAGCACTTCAAGTCTTTCTTGACTTTGAAGGAAGAGATCCGTGCCCCAAATCATCTGCTTCATGTCTTACTTGACATCACTCACATCTGATACACGTTTTGTTTTATTTCTTTATCTTTGGCACACTCTCGCACAAAAATTCTTTGTAATTTTCCAAAATTCTAGTTTCTGTTACTCATGGCTTGTTTTGTTGTCAATTAGAGCGAAAGTGGTCACTTTAAAGCGAATGAATGAGTTATGATTTGCATGGGCTGAAAGTTGAGGATTGTTTTGGAGCAACGATATGTGGATAAGAATCTGCATCGAGTCATCAGATAAGGATTGAATTTGGGCACGTGAATTTGAAACGGTTCCTATACCCACGCGTGATGACGTCTATCTAGGGAATCCCAGCTGTCACATCGAGATTTTTCAGGTGAATTTTCAGAGATCATGTACTCATTACAGATGATTTTTTCTCTCTACTGGAAATGGTATAAAAGAGGATTCTCACACCTCTTATACATCACTACCTTCTTGATACAACAGGCGATTGTTACTGTTCATCTTCTTCAACAATAGCGGAATCTTCATCTCTTCAAGATCAAACTGCATCATCATCATTGCTTGCCATCAAACCTAATCAGAACATGATCATTCAACTAAATCCATTCTTATATGATTTCTATATGTTACATGTCGTTGAATGTCTCAAGTACTCCCTACTGGTAATCGCTCTTACGTAGGTGGAATCCGTTCCCATGTCCCTGCTATCTCAAGTGTATTCTACTATGACATACGACAAAAACAAGGAGAGGATCTACTTTCAAATTTTTAATCATAAGGCATCAATCTCAAAAGGTCGATTATGCTCTCTGTTAGGGCTTGCTATCGATGCTTCAGTTATCTCTCCGGATTTCATTACCACGACTCGGTTATTTACAATGTTCTATGAAATGGGTTATACTGAGGTCCTTACCACTTTCACAAAGTTCAAGAAATTATGTTTACATCCACAATGGAATGAGTTACTTACTATTCTTCAGATGGGGCTCTCTGAATGGGTCGGTGGGTCTGATGGATCAAACAAGTGTTTCATTACTATTTTGTATGGTCTCTACAATGGAATCAACTTGGATTATGGTTCCTTGATCTGGTCTCAACTAGTGCAGAGTTTGAACTCCTCGACCAAACACTCTGAAGTTTCTTGTGGTCGTTTTTGGACCCTTGTTACTCGTCGGGCAATCAACTCTCTCCAGATCCCTGTCATGAAGGATGTTGTGCTTTCTTCTATAGCAACCTTTCACACCCATAAGATTATTGTTGCTGATCCAACAAAATTTCCTCACAATGGTTCAATTCCTGAAACAATGTATTGATGTGTCTCTGCAGAAAGTAAAGTGATGGCTGAGTATCGATTGCTTCCTCCCAAGAATCCACGACAATTGACTCCTGAAGTGCAAGATGCTCTGGATGAAGTTGAGAAGCCAACAAAGTGAGGAAAGAAAGCAGATTCCAAGAAGGTGGAAACCGAAGAACCTTCTTCCAATCCAGTTAAATCCAAGAAGCTAAAAGCTGAAAAAGCTGCTTCCTTGGTTCCCAAGAAAGTTAAGAAGATGGCTCGAAAACCAAAGAATCCTTCACCATCCAGGTCTGGTAATGATGATGAGCAGAATGCTGATGAGGAAGAGGAAGATCAGCATTTAGGTTCTCCTAGGGGTAATACACCACCTAGGTCTCCAACTCCAGAAGGCAATCTTAATGATTATGTTCCCACTCCTCACTACTAGAAAAACAGCCTTTTACGATGCTCATTGCGCGTCGTAAAATGATCAGACGACGCGCAAATGCGCGTCAAGGAAGGCGTTGTCATAAAGAGAGACAACGCGCATTTACGATGCACATTTATGACGCGCATTTACGACGCGCGGTTATGACACACAAAGCGTATCAAGGAAGGCCCTGTCATATAGGAAGACGACACGCATTTTCGTGTCGTAACATTACGACATGCATGTTTATGACACGCAATGCGTATTAAGGAACCCCCTGTCAAGAAAGGCCATGTCATAAATGAAGATGACACACATTTTTGCGTTTCATAATTTTAAATGTTAAAAAAATATAATTTACAGATTTACTAATTTTCAAATTAAATTTGTCTTTAATGTCTCATAACAGAAAATAAAATACCATATACAAAAAATACAATCCATTGCAAAAAATTTATTGTCATCCAAATAACAAACTTTATTTCATATTCATACATATGATTACATTATTCATTAAAAAAACATATACCTACATCTTCCCCTAAAATGTTATTACATGATGTTGGCCACTTCATTGATGGATCAGCTAGAGGAAAACCAACAACTACCCTAAAATGTTCCATGATGTGCCGATACTCATGTCCTGTAACTTTGAACATTTAATAAAGTAAAATACCTCCTAAAAATAAAATTGCACAAGAAACAACACATCATAATGAGAAATTACTGTCATGAATGGAAGAAGTACACTATAAATTTGTTTTACCAAGAGTGGCATGGAAGATCAGGTGCTACAAAGTTTGTCCAAGTTGCCTAACAAAGACTGCATGCAAACCAAAATATACATACACTATAAATTTAATTACCATACAAATCGTATTCATACATACGAGTTTGTTTTACCTTTTTTTGCCTCATATCCATATTTTTTTTTATTCTTTTTAGCCATGGAGTGTTGGTGTTTTCTTTTCTCTCGTTCAATCAACCATTTGTTTTACTTTGAAGAATTAACAATTTCCCTACCTGTTGACTCTGCATCAAATAGAAAAAAGTAAGTCAAACAATATAGTCAATGGTCAATACCAACTACAAGTTTTTACTGAAGTAACCTGACACCATAAATACTTTGGTTTAATGAACAGGAACATGTATGTATAAAAATCGCAATTGAACTACTTTGGTCTAATACCTCCATTTCTACTAAGTGTCCAATCATTGTTTGTGAAGGTTGAAGACCTTCAAACAAAAACTCCCAACAATGTCATTAATGTGAATCTTAAGAATAGGAAACTATTGTAGTTCATGCACTAGACAACTATGGGTGATCTGAAATATTTCCCAAATATTTATTTATTCTGAATTATAAAAAAAGAAAAAGAAAAAAAGATAATACCTTTACTAATGCATTGTATACAAGTCTAGCACATTGAAGACAATGATCCAACAACCGAGCTATTTGTCTTCGAACCAAAACTTGTAGTGGAACCTATATATATATTTATTAAAGGGTTAAATTATTAATATAAATAAATAAATAAATAAAAATTTAAACCTCTGGCATGAATAAAGCGGATCTAGGACCAGTTGCATTGTGGATTGTAGTGCGGATGTCTTGATCAGTGAATCTCTCAAATGGATCTACTTCCTGTGACAATGACATATGAAATATATATATATATATATATATATATATATATATATATATATATAGAGAGAGAGAGAGAGAGAGAGAAATAATAATGAACGTGTTTCTAAATATTATTATTGGGAAAGCTGTAATGAACACGTTTCATATGCTTTTTTAAATGGGATCCTTCTCCCTCTCCCTCTCCCTCAGGTAATTTCCTCTTCAAACCTGATCCTCCAGATATAATAAAACATAAGACTATCAATCTATAACCTCAACAATAAAAATAAAACAAATTATTATTAAAATCAAATAATGATAATACAAATTGTGGGACAACATGGTCTTCTTCTATGATGACATATAAAGCAGCCCTATTACAATATTACCCTTGTGGGACAGCAGGGTCTTCTTCTATGATGACAAATTGTGGGACAGCAGTACATGACTAAATGCATGTAGATAGATAAGGTTGTTTCTTTTTTACTTAATAAAATCAAAATGACTTGTCGGGCTAAGTGAAAGGTTGGTCACTTTATGTATTAAGACCCTCCCTATTACAATATTACCCTTGTTTATTTTTTTAATTTTATTCAACTTTTGACAACCTCATGAAAAAGGCACTATCGATCTCGTTTTTTTTCCAACGTTCATAGAATTTTAAGCAAAATGTTGGCATCTATTTACCTGTTGCTGTTTGTTTTAGAATTTGGAGAGAGAGAGAGAGAGAGAGAGAGAATCTTCATGCCTTTATGTCAAAGGAGGGCGTGAAAAGACAACCCAGTTACCATCTTAAGCAATTAGTGGTCCTAGACTAGTTTTGGACTCCAGAGGCAAAAATGGTCTTTTATGCTTATTATTATTATTATCCGTTTGAATTATTTAGACCATTACCTGCAGGTGGAGATGGTATAGGAGTAGTGGGGGACAATATATTCTCCTCCTTGGATCATTCTTTGTAATACCTTGAAAAGTTCAAATTAATAGTTACAAAAGACCCGTGAATGTGATAGTGAAAAATAGTTACTAATCAACCTCTATATAGTTGCAAAGTTTAGTTGTTAAACCCTGATTCATGTAAGAATCAAAAAAGAAATATTGTTACACAATCAATAATACAAATCAATTAGCTATCAAAAGCCCTAATTTCAGAATGGAAGAAAATGATGAAGAACAGAAACAAAATCAAATGAAGTTGCACAAGGTGAAATATTACTATATTAGCCCATAGAATGGAAGAAAAAGATCAATCAGTTAGCTATCAAAAGCCCTAATCAGTTAGCACCTCTGGATAGAAGTGTCCTGATGGCCTTTTGCAAAGGTGAAATACTACTATATTAGCCCATAGAATGCTGGGAATATATTATATGGAGCTGAGATAACATACCTTTCTTGAAATCCCTTCTGCTACTTTAGTTTTGGTAAAATCACAAGCATCAGAGAGGGTATCCTATCCATGTGAAAAGCAGAGCTCATATACATGTTGAGGTTGAGCAGGACTACCTCCAACTTCATAATGACCCTCCATGGGATTTGGTAGGAATTGGAATCCATGGATTGGTGTTTAAAGTAAGTAAAGTAACCTAAAACTTTGGATTGGTGTTCAAAGTAACTTGCAGTTTTGCATATTATTTTCCAAACCAAATAAATAATATACTGATTATAAATTAAATTAAAAAAAACATTCTCCATAGCAGCCAAAGATGGAATGTTTGCACCTGCCATTCGGTCCATAGACATCATCTGCGTTTTCTCCTGAAATCAATAACATAAGAATTAATAGTAAGTCAACATTTAACTATTATTTTAATTATTGATATGAAAGAGCTCACTGACATGCTGGAATTTAAAAGCCCAACCCCCAGTACCATGTTGTTGCTCAATGGATAAAGTCCAAGCATTCGGGTCCCCACCATGTTGTTGGGAAAATTCATCAGCCCAGCCATCTGCACGGGGCCCGGGCCCCGGCCCGGGCCCCGGCCCGGGCCCCATGACTTGCTACTCCCCCCAATACTGATCCATCTCTGCATATCTACCAGGCATGTGCTCCCTAACCAATCCCCCATGATTATTGATCTCTAAAGAAGATAACAGAGCATTCACCTGAATAAGTATTAATGTATGTATTCAGTTCATCTATTAAGATTGTATCTTAGGTAGGTCAATAGAGTAGTTGTAGCTACTCTAATTTTCATGGTTTATAGAACACGTTGTGATTTCATCTTTAATAGCCCTGCCAAATGTTTTTATTTGAATACTTAATTACCAAGCAACCTTTCACATTACAGAAAATGATAAGAACACCAAGCATGTTCATGTCACTAAACGTGGCCTTAGCTTATTACAATAGAATTGGTTGTTGTTGTTGTTGGAAAGAAGAATATTTGATTTTTAGCTAACTTTCCTAATTCCTAGTTTAATTCTCTTGTTTATATGTAAAATCTTCATCAACTTTTGCTTATCTAATAAGGTTGTTCCTTCCTTGAGTCATAACATGGAACGTGACCATATCAACCTTTTTATTGGTCAAGACTCAAGACCATATCAACCTTCAAGGCTGTTACATCTTACTCATATAGTGATCAATAATGTGTGTATATATAGAAAAAGTGTAGGTTGTGTCATCATACCTTAAAGGAGCGTATATATAGAAAAAGTGTAGGTTGTGTCATCATACCTTAAAGGAGCGTATATATAGAAAAAGTGTAGGTTGTGTCATCATACCTTAAATGAGAAATTACTGAATGAGTAATTCACATTGAGAGTTAAAGCACCAAATTCTGCCAGGTTAACACATTCATCACCCTGTTTAATCACACAGCCAAATGATTAAGGATTACAAAAGAAACCAGGTATGTGCGTGTGTCTGCATGTGTGTGTGTGTGTGCGCAAAAGGATGCATGGATATGAGATCATACCTCTTCCTCTAGCATATTGCCAAAAGAAATATCACCTAATGTGCTGCATGTATCAGACATATCATCAAAATCGCTGCCTCCATCAACATGCTCATCTTTTGGATTCCAAATATACCGGCTCATGAAATAACTCGTGTCCAGAGTCTCAGTAGATGGTATGAATGTCGCCTGATTGAAACATACCCGCATACAACTCAACTCAACTCAACTCTTATAAAACAACTTTTTTTTTCTTAGAATAAAAGTTGAAAATAGATGAAGTTATCTTCTGCCTTGCAAGTGTGTCCCAGTGGATATTCTTAAAGAAATGGTGCGTCTTTACCTGTTTGTTTATCATTAATAAGTCCAGCATATTATTTATCAATTAACTTCCTACCTCTTTGCCTTTTCTTTATATATATATATATATATATATATATATATATATATATATATATATATATATATATATATATATATATATATATATATATAAAGTAATTCAATTTTTTTAAAATTAAAAAAAAGATGTTTACCTTGATATGGCTATCTGGACCAATCAACAAGTTGTATGGCTTCAGGTCTCGGTGAATGATATTGAAAGGATGTAAATAAGCCAGTGCAAGAACCTAAAAGCAATCAAAAAAATATGAAGTTGGAGAAAAAAAGACCAAATTGCCTGTAAAAGCAATCTACTTTTCAATACCAATATGAATGAAGATCTACTTAGTGTTTACCCATAAGAGTAGAAAACAAAGTACATTGGTTATACCAGAAAAGAGAAGGAATAAAATTACAAGTTGTGCAATATAGACACGTGTCATGTCTTCTTCTAAGCAACCTAGAGTTCTCCGCAAAGAGAAAAGATATCCTCCATTTAAAAACTCCATTACCAGATATAGATTTTCTTTGCATGTGAATGAGTAGAAAAACCGAACCTATGTCAAAACAATTTAATTAACGAATTCAAGTTACACAAACACGGTTTAACCAATTTTTTTTATTTTCTTCTCACCACAAAAGGATTTCGAACTGATATAAGTATATCATGTTCTAACAAAATACTTTCAACTGCATTTTTACGAATCATATCAGCCTTCTTCAAAACCTGCAATACTTTTTCCAAAATAACTTCTTTTAGTAAGTAAACACGGACTAAGGGACTCTGCTTATATTTTACTTAACATGTTAAGCACTTATAACTGTTTCATTTTTTACTTAATGATCTGGACATAATTTAATTGAGGGTGTATGAAGCCCTTACCTTTATGGCAAATACATCACCAGTTGCCCTTTTTTTGGCTAGAAAAACTCGTCCAAATGTGCCCCTGCTAATTGGTTTTATAATCAAACAACCAAATCATCAAAAGGAACATACCAATTGATTATATAGATAGCGTGTGTGTACATATTAGTATTAATTACCTCATCCTCTAGCATATTGCTGAAAGAACTTCACCAGTGTTCACAACATGTTGATGTAAACAACTTAGGATATCAAAAGCTTATCCCACATTTTTAACTGAAAGACTTTGTCATCAAATATCTTGCAAAGAAATATATCAATCAATGAATGGAAACATAATCTACAATAATAACAGCCATATCACACATAATTTTTGAAACAGAATCTGTTGATAGAACTCATTACACGTAAAACCAAAGTACAAATTTTCTGCTATGCAAGAGATCATTAATAAGTTTTTTTGTTTAATTACTAGGTTTGGATAGATCACAGATCATGTTGTATTCCATAAATGTGGCATTCAAATCTCATTGCCACCAAGTGTTATTAATAGTTAACTGAAATGAAATATTACCTTATCAGAAATGTTCTTGTTAAATGATCTCCACATACACTTCATCTTTACATGATAATCTGAAAGCAAAATTACAGAGATAAAGAGAACAAATATCAAAAAGTCATCTTGATTCATACACTGGAAACATGAGGATGATAATGCATTATCAGGGATGATTATGTCAATTTGTCATTAGGATTTTCTAAGCCAAAGCCTTAAAATGGTAAAACCCAAAGGCATTCGACAATAAATTTCAAAAAACAAAGATGTAGGGAGATTTTGTAACGAAATGTTTTAGAATTTTTTATCTATACAATGTCAGAGTATAATTGTTAGAGTATATGAGAATCAAGAATGGAAATACGATTCTCATTCTCATTTCTATTAACGAAAAATAGCTAAAAGAAATCTTATTTACCTTTGCTATGAAATACCAAATCGATTAGCTTGGAGAGGAGCACGAACGAAGAATAGTTATCGTTTATAACTAATTTCCTGATGGAATTAGACATGATTGATTCTCGCTTTGCCTAAAAACCCTAGCTTTCGTGGCCCTTTAAGCAGCAATCCTTCGATTTCAGTGACAAACGAGACCCAAACACTTTGATTTCAAATCTATGGCCTGGTGACCAGAAACCCTTCGATTTCAATAAGATCCAAAACCCTAGTTCCAGAAATAGTCGATTTTGTGGCCCTATGAATGTAAAGTGTTCGATTTTTATGAGAAATGAAGCAATAGAGATCGATCTATGGAGGATGTGGGTCGTTCTTTGAGGGGTGAAAAAAAACCTAGTTTCTTAGACATTGTGAGGATGGGGTTTTCTAATTTTTAGATTCCTGCAAGGTATTAAGGAGGGGGCACGATGTTTGATGAGATCGATAAGGAGGTCAGGAGTGGAGGAGAAGCGGATCAGAGAGCAGAGAGAAGGAGGGAGAGGGGAGAAGATGAAAGATAGAAAGAAGGTAGAAGACAGATGTTCAAAATTTTGGGGATTTCGTTTCCCCCTCTACTGAACGCGCGTTTCCTTAAAATTATAAAGCGACAGAGGATGCGCGTTTAAAATAAAGCGCCCTCCATGTTTTTTTTCTTGAGACAGTAATTTAAGGGCACACAATAATGTGTGACGTAAGTCCTTAAATTTTTGAAGAGATGACGTTTTTTTAATGTCGCTCTCTTTTGCATAACATAAATCTATAAGTGCCGTGGTTTGCGCGTCGTTAAAGGGTATTTTTCTTGTAGTGCCTCCACCATCACCACCAAAAACTATTGTTCAAGTTTCGGTGCCATCACCACCAAAAACTACTGTTCAAGTTTCGGTTGCACCAATTCCTCCATCTCCTACAACTCAAACTACTACCATTGTTCGACCACCTCCACCTGTCAGCTCAATACCCTTATCTACAACCCCATTACCACCTCCCATTTTTTCCCAAGCAACTATCACCTCTACACCGGTCATCCTTACCACAACCGAATCTCCAGTACAAGTCAACACATCTGATGTGGGGGCAAAGACTGAAGATAATCCTAAAATTACAACCGAGCGTATTTCCCTAACTCATTCCAGTGAATCTGGTCCAGTTCTTGGAGGCACTGATTTTGAATTTGATTCAACCTACTACAGTCCATACAGAATTCCAAGTGATGAAGGTGAAGTTGCTCCGGTAACCAAGCAACAACTGAATAGTGTTCATGAAAAGCTCGATATGATGATTGACTCTACAAAGAAGTATAATGATGTTGTTTTGAAAGCGTTCATGGATACAACCCTGCAACAATATCATGATTCCATCGATAAATCCACGACTGCTGTGGATGAATCTACTTCTTTATGAAAAAGAGAAACAACCGATATCAAATAACTTATTGAAGATTCCAGGATTTTGTTGGACTCTCTCAAAGGTCATTCTGATATAGTTGCTACCAAGGTGAATGCCTTAATTGATTCTCTTTCTCAGTCACTTCAAGGAGAGCCAGTCAAGCTTAAGACGGTTCATTCTGATATTCTAACCGATAATAAGACTTTTCTGTCATTGGTTGATTCTCGGTTGGAGAAACTTCAAGCTAATTTGGCATTGGAACGCAACCTCCGAGAAGATCTTTCTCAACATACCACTACTGCTGAAATACTGAAGGCTAAACTTGCTAAAGCAGAACGGGAGATTGCTTTGTTGAAAATCAAACGTGCAGTTTTTAGAAGCTATGCTAGTGATGTTCTCAATATGCTAAATAATGTGGTTCATGCTCATGATCTGATTCTTACTCTTACCATCAGGAATCACCTCACCTCCAAGCTCCTTCCGATGATTGAACTTTTACGTGAGATGAAGGGTGTTTCGGGGAAAGTTGTTCTTCCGCAACAAGGGGGAGAAGGTAGGTCCTAAGCTCCTCCTGTTCACCCTACTGTTAAACTGGTGATTGTTAAAAGCTAACTGAAGGATAATGTAGCTTCAGGTTCTGGTAGTCGAGAGAAAAAGAAAGGTGTCACTAATGAAAATGATGACAGTCATGAAGACAAATAAACTATTGCTGATGCCTTGAAACGCAAGAAAAGGGATATGGAGATAGATGAAAATCTTTATATTTCAAGGGAAGAGGAAGAAAGGGAACTACAGAAGAAAGAAGAGTTTGATGATCTTGCTTGTAAAAAGGCTCTGTTTCCTCCATGGACTAGGGAGGGTCTGATCAAAGAAGCAATTGATTTTCCAAGCATGTATTGGCTGGAACCTGTTGTCTCTTTTGATTGTGACAACATGAGGGACTCTCAATTTGATATACCTATAACCAGAAAGGCATTTGTTTTTCACTATTTTGATTCTACAGTTGAATTCCCCTCTCCTTATCATCAGGTTGATCGTGATCTTATTGAATACTATCTTAAGTTCGGTCAACCTCAATACCTAACGTGGAGTGCATAGAAGATAACCACTGTCAAGGTGATGAAACCCTCTCCAGCGGGAAAATTTGTGAATGTTCAATTTCTAATAACCAGGGGTTCGTCCAATTCAGTCCATACAATTTACTTAGTAGATTTTATTGTTTAACATTTTTCTCATAAGTGCGAAGGAGTGTGATCCGATTCTCAATCATCTTAAGAGGATGAAGTTGCAAAAATGGATCAAGAGGTGGTTCTTATTTTAAGGAAAAAGCCAACTATGAAGCCGACTGGAAAACCTGGTGATGTGAACAAAATGAAGCTTGGTCAAATCGACTCCACTAATCTTACATTTATGTTTACAGGGGCCAAAGTTGAAAAGTTCTTGTTCGCTCTTGTTGATAAGCATTTGTTCTCTATAGCTTGCTTGGAGCATATTCTTGATATCATTCACCGGTGTAAGCAGAACAGAGAGTCTGACAAGAAGAATTTCACAGACATGATTTGGTGGTACATTGATTTTAGACAAACTCTTTTGGCCATTATACCGAACGTATTCAAGACTATCAAGAAATCTTCAGTTGCTCAACATAATTGAGTTCTCAGCTCCATTGACGCAAAGGGGGAGATTTTTAGGTATTTGGTGTTGCGTCATGGGATCGTTTTTCTATATCCGAATTGGGCCTGTCCATCCATGATTATAGATTAGGGTTACATTATTTATAGTGCATGCATATATGCCTTAGATACAACAATCAATATTATCATCATTATTGTTTTGTAACCCTAAACACCTCTACAGTCGAAGTTCTTAATTGAGCTCTTCTGTGGTGTTAAATTTTAATAATTTGACACTGTGTTCTTTATTGTGTTATATATTACGTTGTCATTCATTATTTTGCTTGAATATATCAATCTTTAAGGAATATCATTCCAACACCATTCAATTCGAATGCTAAGCAAACTGAGGTGAAAGGAAATGTTGTGAGTAAAGTTGTTGGTGAGGAGAAGAAGAAGGTTGAGAAGAATGATACGAAGGTGTATGAGGGGAAGAATGAGAAGAAGATTAAAGGTGACTCAGGTGTAGATTGTCACTACTGCAATGGAGCAAATCATCTTGCCAATGACTGCATGCTTAGAAAGAATGATGAAAGGAAGAATAAAATCAAAGATGAAGCTTATTACGCTGAAAAAATTGAGGAGGTTCGTGCAAAAGCAAAGAATTTGTCGTTGATAGCAACAGGTGAATAGGACGAAGATGGAACCTATCAAATCTGGTCATCTGGATCAGATGACGAGGAGATGAGAAATTCTACTCATGGTGCATTGTATGCGAAAATGGAAGAGGATTCGGATGGAGAAGAGTTTGAAGTGAAAGGTCAGTGCTTCGTATCAAAGACTACTGAAAAATCTCCTATGACGATAAAGGTACGTTCTATTCTCGAATCTTTTAATATTCCAGCAAATGCTTTTAAGTTTGAATTAGTATCTTTTGATGAGACTGTAACTTATTTTGATTCAATTGTTGTGTCTGCTAGCATTGAGGTTAAGAAATTATCCATGGAATTGTTAGAGACCAAAAAGCATTTAGATATGAAAATAAGTAAAGTTGAATGTTTAGAGTTACAAATAGCAAACATCATGTGTGATAGGGATTCTTTATCAAGTGAATTCAAACAAACTTCTCCAAAATCGCTAAACCACTTACCACACTGACCCATAAGGGAGTAACCTTCGACTGGGGAGAAAAGC